CAATAGTATTTTTGGGGGGTTCCTTAAAATAGTTATATATATATATTATAAAATACCCCAAAGCCCTATTCTAGCTATTAAGGCCCCTACATTACGCAACCCACGGACTTTAGATCATAGGTATCTTACAAATTTTCGTCATGGGGAAGGGCTGCAAGGATGAAACTGCGAAGTTCGGACCATGAGCTCCATCGGGATTTGTGATGCTTCTGGTCTTCCCTGGAGGGTTTAGGGAACCGGGCTTTGTTGGGTGGCGTTTTTTTTCCAGCTGTGACCCGTGTTGCAATGCCCTTATTCCGATCATTGACAGCATGCTTGCGATGTTCGACCACTGCCACATACTTGCCATTGCTTGCCGACCCTTGCTGCCCCATGCATTCATCAACTTTGATAAGCTTGGGGAGCCGACCGCTGATCACTTCGGCGCTTGATCTGTAAGCACCAGAAGCGGTAGGTTCGAATTTATGATCGCTGAAGTATTCTACCGATCCTTTTTCTGCAACCTCGCACCCTCGGGATTACCATCCAGTGAATCTAGTGCGTATAGGGCCCTCGATCTGGTAGGGCTCCCGGGATACCGAGCAGAGAGCTACATTAGCACTGTACTGTCGGAAAGCTAGGGTTTAGGGTTTAGGGTTTAGGGTTTAGGGTTTAGGGTTTAGGGTTTAGGGGGACGGTAGGCTTTGCGCGCCAGGCAGTTGCGCGGGCAAATGCCGAGATACATCCTCGAAGGCCCTGCTACAGCTGCTATGAGGAACTGACAATACAGAGGTCTGAAGGGTTAAGAATGTTATCCCCGCTGAGTCGATACATCGCCATAAACTACAATAATCTGCCCAAGCCCCACTGTTAAAATTGCCGAGGCCCAGACAGTAGAGGTGTTGAAGCTCGAAATTGTCGAGTTTGGGTGCATGTAGAGACTGGAGTCATTTGTGAGTAGTTGGTAGGTAGGCCCGCGGGATATTTTACATTTTCCTTATCGGGCCTAAACCCTAAACCCCTAAACCCTAAACCCTTATCGGGCCTAAGGGGGTCTGATTTACGAAGTTTTTTCAAAGGCCTTTACGGGCCAACCTAGATGAGCAATGGATGTGCCCGGAACCAACAGAAGCCCTGTCATGGTTCATGAAACTGACAGAGCTATATTCCTTACTTAAGGGGCAGAGCCTGTCCAGGAATCCAGCTTTAAGGAGATGCTTAATGAGGGCTTATAGGGTTCGGGGTTTCGGGTGCTCAACTCATGCAAAAGCACGGCTTGAGGCGAAGAACTTCCCCTAACTCCGGGCAGGACGCACCCTAAACCCTGAACCCTAAACCCTAAGCCAGAAACCCTGAACCCTATACCCGAAACCCTTAAAAAAAAAAGCACCAGAACTCTAAGCGATGGAAGCTTTTCCCCTGAAGCCCTGAAAAGGATCCCTGGAAGGAGCCCTTAAAGGAACCCTGACCCTAGACCCTAAACCCTGAACCCTAAACCCTTATAGGAAAACATCTGGGAGACTTTAAACTCTACACCCTGAACCCTCAACTCTTAAAGGAAAATTATGGGAGACCTCTACCCTAAACCCTGCACCCTAAACCCTAAACCCTCACAGGAAAAGTTATGGGAGACCTTGCCTATTGGAAGCAGACCTGCTCTACCCTCTCTTGCCCTGCTCTTTGGCAGAAACGAGGTTTCGGCCTTCGGAAGCGTCTGTGTGTTTGTATTTTTGGCTAGGGTTTAGGGTTTAGGCTTTAGGCCTTCGGAAGTGTCTCTGTGTGTGTGTGTGTGTTTTTGTTGGCTTGCTTTTGGAGTTTCGGGTTTAGGGTTATAGGGTTATAGGGTTCAGGGTTTAGGGTTTAGTATTTTAGGATGGTTTAGGGTTTGGGGTGGTGCCCCTAAACCCTAAACCCTAAACCGTGGTTTAGAGTTGGGGTTCCCATTTTCTGAAGCTCTTGGCCACAAGGCTGGCTCCTAACTAGCCTGAACCCTTCCTCTGGGTTTAGGGTTTAGGGTATATTAGGGTATATAAGAGTTTAGGGTTTTGGGTGTAGGGTATATTACGGGTTTAGGGTTTAGGGTACAGTACAGGGTATATAGGGGTTTAGGGTTTAGGTTTATGGTAAAGAAGGGTTTAGCGTTTGGGGATTTCCATCTCGGCAAGGGTCACGAACTGCTTTGGAGACAACGACCTCTGATCCCGGGAATTCTAGACAGGACTACTCTGTCTTTCTTGACAGTACATTCGTACAAGCAGGACAGCACATGATCTACTGCACGCATGTACCAAGCTCCTCGACAACCCCGTAAGAACTTATTGTGAGATCCCCAGGAAGAGGGAATCTACTTTGTGGGGATACCTGCATTTTGTAGGTTTTTGGGGCTTAGGGTGCAGGGTTCTGGGGTTTAGGGCCCCGCATCCCATCAACACTTCTCAAGCTCAATGAAGCTTCTGACAGTTTTGAGGTCCAACTACAGGGGACAGTCATATAGGGGCCTTAATAATTAGAATAGGGTTTGGGGGTCAATACACTATTTTTATATTGCGGAACCCCCAGAACCCAATTCTAATTATTAAGGCCCCTACAGTAAGCACAAGCTCCAGGCTAGATGTCGCCCTGAACTCAACCCCCAACTCGATAGCCTCAACCCCAACCCCGCTGTAGCCTAAGCCGCGAAGCCGAATCCACCGTAAACCTACTAGAGGGCTGTGAAGATAGTCGAAATAGCATTCCGTCTCTGCCTCTATATCCCAACTACCAGCAACAATGTCCCGCCTGCAGCCCAATTCTTCTCTACGAGGCTTGTTGGGCTACTGGCGCGGATGTACCCTACGGAACTGAGGTTAACGAGGCACCAGCAGGGGGGGGGGGGGGGGGAAAGTATTTCGCGTTGCC